TGGATTTAGTACCCGATGAATAGACTATAGCAGCTATGGAATTAGTGTTTTATGAACGAACGTTGGCAGCTATGGATTTAGTGCCAGTCCTATAACCCTGGAAGTAAGGGACTTCGGAATAAACGAATGCAGGATAGATAACTCTTAGGATAAATCCTTAAAAGTAAAGAAGATAATGGGGATGGGTAATTGGGTTGATTGTTTGATTGTTTAAACATAATAATTATATTATTGTGGGTTGAAAACCCTATGTACTCACCAGGTTTCCCAACCTGACCACTCAGCTATTTATATTACAGGGGTTGATATGAAGTCACATTACACTGAGAGATTTAAAGAGATGTAGATCACTAGTGTAAATAAATGTAAGTTCTGTTTATGCTTATGTTTATGTATTAACGATGACATCCCAAACGTTTTAAAATGAATAAAATGCGTTTCTTCGAAAATGTTTTAATAATGTATTTATCGTTTTTTTTTTCTGGGAACAAATTCCGCAACATTTTTTTCAAAAGAAGAACTCTGATTTTTATAAAGCATAAACAAAATCGGTCTTTTCTGGCCGTCAAAATGGGGATGTCACAAAGAGTTACTGGGAGTGCCTCCGGAGAGGCAAATGGAGTTTCGTATTGACCTAGTGTCGTGTGTCGCCCCGATAGAAAAGGCACCATATCGGTTGGCATCACCAGAGATGCAGGAATTATCTGCACAACTTCAGGAGTTGTTGGACCGGAGGTTCATTCGTCCGAGCAGTGGGGTGCACCGATTATGTTCGTGAAAATGAAGGATGGATCGCACAGAATGTGCATTGATTATAGGGAGTTGAACAAACTAACGGTGAAGAACCGTTATCCATTGCTGAGGATCGATGATTTGTTTGATCAACTTCAGAATGCGTATTGGTTTTCCAAGATTGACCTTCGGTCTGGGTATCATCAAATGAGGATTCAGGATGAGGATATACCGAAGACAGCTTTCAGGACTCGGTAGGGCACTATGAGTTTATGGTGATGTCGTTCGGGCTTACCAATGCCCCAACAGCGTTCATGGATCTCATAAACAAAGTGTGTAGGCCGATGCTGGATCGGTCGATGATTGTTTTTATCGATGATATTCTGGTCTACTCTAAGACTATGGAGCAACACGAGCAGCATTTGAAGGAGGTATTAGAGACCCTGAGGGTGGAAAAACTTTTTTCGAAGTTCTCCAAGTGTGATTTCTGGCTGCGGGAAGTGCAGTTTTTGGGGCATGTCATCAATCAAGAGGGTATTTTGGTTGATCCAGCCAAGGTTGAGGCTGTAATGTGGTGGGAAGTACCAAGGAATGCATTTGAGATGCGTAGTTTCTTGGGCTTATCAGGTTACTATCGAAGATTTATCCAGGATTTCTCCAAGATTGTTGTGCCATTGACCCGCTTAACCAAGAAAAATGTGACTTTTCGGTGGGGTGCGGATCAGCAGATGGCTTTTGAGCCCTAAGACAGAGGTTATGCAAGGCTTCGATTCTAGTACTACCTGAGGGGTTAGATGATTTGGTGGTGTACTCCAATGCGTCAATCTCAAGGTTAGGCGCGGTATTGATGCAGAGGGAACATATGATAGCTTATGCATCGAGGAAATTGAAGCCTCATGAGGCAAATTACCCCACTCATGACCTGGACCGGTGGCAGTGGTGTTTTCCCTCAAGATTTGGAGGTACTACTTATATGGTGTGCGTTTCACTATATATATTGATCACAAGAGTTTGAAGTATTTGATGGATCAGCAGAACCTCAACATGCGATAGAGGAGGTGGTTGGATGTGCTGAAGGATTATGACTGCGAGATTCTATACCACCCAAGAAAGGCCAATGTAGTGGCCGATGCATTGAGCTGCAAGATGGTTGGGTCCCCGATTAGGGACATTTGTATGAGGATGACTGTGATCTCGCCTTTGTTGGATATGATCAAGGGGGCTCAGGTTGAGGGGGCGAATAAGGAGAACTGGAAGATAGAGAAAATTCGGGGACAGTATCCATTGTTTGTCAAGGATAGTCGCGGCCGTTTGACTTAGTGTGGCCGAGTGTAGGTACCAGTGGCAGGGGAAGTGAGGCAGAGGCTACTAGAGGAGGCGGACAAGTTCAAGTTCTCTATACACCCAGGAGCTACAAAAATGTATAAGGACTTGAGGGTACACCGGGCATACGCTTAAAACCCTATCAGCCTCTTGAGCCTCTTCTTGTCTACTTTCAGCTGTGGTATTGTGTGTGAGAGTTTTGAGCTTAAGGAGAGGGTTTTGGTGGGCATTTTAGACTTCTTTCAAGAAAGAGAAGTGGTTGTGCAAGCTTGGAACGAGTATCTTGCAAAGCTTATGGAGGTCTGAATTTTGCACCTTTCCATCTTAATCTCTAGATCTAATTAGGGTTTCTTGTTTGGTCCCCTTTTAGATGATTTTGGACCTCCTTTGAGAGTTAAGCAACTCCAGGAGATGGGATAGACAGATATGAGGTCCTTTGGTCCTTTAGTACCATAAAAATGGAAGCTTGATGGGAGCTTTGGCCTCATGCATGGGTTAAAGACCTTGGAAAGGTCTTAATGGAGAAGCTGGGTGTGTATGAGACATGCAAAGGCATAAAGTTGCCAACTTTATGCCTTAGGACATCTTTAAAGACTTTGATCTGGCTTTTGAACGTAAAGGACTCGAGTATTAAGTACTTAATGGGGAAGGTGCTCAAAATGAGGGTACGTTGGGAGTAACCCAGTGTACGCGGGGCGTAGTCCCATGTCCCAATACGATGCACGTACCAGGATGGTACGCCTAACGTATGCAATGTAGATGGGCCGAATCTGTTTTGGGCCCTTAGGCTAATTGGGCCTTATTTGATTATTGGGCCTGGTGTAATCTAGGAATTATGAGTCATATAATTGTTTTGAGCCATGGAGTTATTGTTGGGTCTTTTTAGGGCCAAGAAGCCCATTAAGGATTTTGGACTTGGCCTTTGGGCTTATTGGCAAAGGATGGATATTTGAGCCTTTTGGAAGGGTTGTAGAGTTGGGTTCCCTTGGTTAACCAAAGTTGTAACATTGATTAATATTATATTCAGCTTGGGCGGTTTCAGACTGTTAAAAGAGCAGCTATTGTATTCATCAGATAGATGTGAGTCTTCTCACCATACCTATGGGTCTAACGCACCAAGGTCGGCCCATTGTGTGATTACAATATATGTGATAGTCTTTATGTGATTTGATATGATATGTGATTGTGTGTTTTGCATGAAGATCCCGGGAGGAGCCCGTGACATTAGATGTAAGACCATGTAGGGTAGCCCATGACAGTCATAGGTAAAGACCATGTGGGGGTAGCCCATGACATTGGATTTAAGACCATATAGGGGAGCCCATGGCAGTCCTAGGTAAAGACCATGTGGGGTAGCCCATGACACTAATACATGTTTTATGTATGTATGACTTATGTGATATGTGTGTAGCTTTAATTAGCTAACAGGACATGTGTATGCGTGGTGTGTGGTATGCTCTGGGGAACTCACTAAGCATTTCGCTTGTAGGTTATTGATTTGGTTCTAGTACATTTGAGCCCAAGGGCAAGGGCAAGGGCAAGGCGTGATGACGTAGCATGCACTCTATCACTCTCTTTCACTATTAGAATTGGGTTCATTCTGATGATTTAAATAAGGTGTAATGAATTGATGATTTGAAAACAATTATGTTGTGATTTTATGGTTTAAGCAATTATGTTTTATTAATTAAAAAGTGAAAAATTTCTTTTAAAATTTGGGTCGTTACAAAAACACTTGGAGAAAGCAACCGTAAAAGAGTTTCAAGAAAAGAAGAAGATGAAATTATCATTGTTGAACCTCCAAAAGTTCTAGGTACTCCAAAGGACTCAATTGTGCCAACAATATCATCAAGCCATTAGTCATACCACCACCTCCTTGATTAATCAAACATTGATCAATCTGAATCTTCCAACAATATCATCAAGCCATTGGTCATACCACCACCCCTTTTGAATTAATTTCCAATTCACTGTTTCCTTTAAATTGTGTATCAATTTCTTCATTTATTAGCCATCAAATTTTGACCAATTTGAAAATTTTGACTTGTGTGAGCATAACACCAACTACAAATTTATCTTCCCTGTCCAATTCTTCGACCACTGTGCCCAAAATTGAACTCTTCCTCCCTACTGACTTAAATCTTCGACCCCAAGCACCATCACAATCTCATTCAACCCTAATTAGACGATCTGAGCGACTTGTGCTACAAAAGAACTAGCAAAATTCCATAATTTCAAAAACCCTAAAAAAAAAGTTCTTGACTGCTTCGTGCTTCAACACAAAAATGATCAAGAGGCCAACTTAATAAAAATTAGGTTTTTTATTCCCATGCTCATTTCTGGCTCGATCAAGGAAAAAACGGGAATGAACAAAGGCAATAGAACGAAGACAACAATTGGGTGGATCAGTGTCGAGCAATCGATCGGTAAAGGGGAAACAAATAAGATGGCAAGAAAGCACGAAGCAACTGCGCTACATCTGAGCTCTCGCTCGTCGCAGGTCAACAATGATTGTCGCAGTCAATTAAACTGATTTTTTTTCTTTTCTAATAAATAAAACCTGTTGTCCAGTGTGTGTGTGCGCGCGCACATAAACATAATCATATGAATTTACAGATTTTTGCTTATGTGCATAAAAATAATCATTTTTGTTTAAAAATATAAGGCATACCGCAATCTAATGTCTGTATTCAAACAAACCAAATATAGAGTACAAAAATTTAATAGCTTCGACTTTTCTATTTTCTAATAACTTCATTTGTCATCTAACCAATCGTTCCATTACACTTAGTTTGGCTGTTTGATATACTAACTCTTTATTACCAAATGATTCCAAAAAGGGTCAAAAGAAGGGAAGAGTTTTCTAATTGTTTAAAGGCTTATTCACTCGTTCCTAAAATCAACAAACAAACCTCCATTCAGCTGTTGCAACAGAATCCGAAGAGTCACAAACCATTTGTTTTAAGAGTTAACTGCAGGTACCTGCCAACTCTTGCAATTGCAAAAATATGCAAAAAAAAATAATCATAAACACAAAAATAGAATAGAATGCAGACAAAATTCATTGTATCAAGTGCTTTAATCTCCTTCTAAATAGAAATATTCCCAAACAAAACAATTCAATGACAAACAAACAACTAAGATAAAACGCAAGGCTAGTAAAGACATCCAATATGCAAGTATAACAAACTGAAGAGATCTCACTTCTTGGATTTCTTTGTTGCCCTGAAATAAAAGGCATATTCACATCAAACAAAATTCATACAATACAATATAATCAAAAGCAAATACATAAACAGCAACAACACTCACTGTGCAGGTTGTGCTGCAGGTGTAGGTGCAGGTGCTCTCTCCTGAGGACCCTGAAACCAAAAATAAAAGTAAGAATGAAGCAAAATCAATGACAAATTTTAATGTATATATATATATATATATAAATATGATATACCTGTGCCAAACGTTCCTCTCTTCTGGCCATCTTCCTTTCCCTGCTTGCCTTATTCTTGGCACGTTTGGCCTCAAACTGGTCAGATAAAGTCTTCTCTCTGGCCTTCTCAGCCTTTGACTTGTGGATGCTCTCCATCAACACACGCTTGTTCTTGAAAACATTACCTTTAACCTTCATGTACATGTCATGGTACATATGCTTGTCAATCTTCTTCGACTCTCGGTACTTTCTCAGCAACCTCCTCAACACCCTCATCCTTCTCATCCATAGAATCTTAGTTGGCAGACGCGCCTCCCTGGTTCCCTTACGCTTACCTTAACAGTTCAAGCTTATACAATCAGATCACACACACACACTCACATACTTACAGCTTTTCATTCAATATATCAAAATACCATATCCAGAATGACGCCCTTTTCTTTTGGCCTCCTTCATGCGCCGTGCTCGAGATCGGGAGTGAATCTTCGTTGGCTTCCTGATGATAAATCCATCCTTCACCAACTTCCTGATGTTTTGACCTGAAAACAGTAAACATGCCTCGTTTTACACCAATCATAAAGCCAGTTTTCACGTTTAAGTACCAAAACCATTCTTTCGATACCATACGGAGTAGTACTCGGATACAAAAAAAGGAGTTTCCAGCAAACCATGAACCATATATAAAAATAGTAGACCATCTTAACATAGACCTATCCTAATATGTGATATTCAGTCATGTTGCAAAACTGAACAAAAGACCATAAAGAAAAACAAATCGCCTGTCTGTGAAATTTAATTTATGAGCAGTAACAGAGTTCACATAATAAAACAAGACAATCAGTAATGAGGAAAGTAAATGAAAACGAAGGATAGTAGGAACATACGAGAGTTGGCCATGGAGATCTCATTGCCTTCATTGGGATCGAGCCAAACCTTTCCTCTTCCACACTTGAGGACGCTGGCGGCTAGCCTCTTCTGTAGCTTCAGCGACACCATTTCCCTTTCACGGCTGCGTCTGCGAATAAGATGACTAGGGTTTTGTATGTGTGGTAAATAATAACGCTTATATATTATAATCGATATCCACTTCCCCTTGGGCTCAACTATTTCTATCAACTGGATCTGGGGCTTTCTCGTCTAAAAGATTGGCGGCCCAATGGATTATAAATTGTATGATTTTGAGTTTACCTTTTCGTTCTTTCCCAACAGCATGTGCACACCACAATATTCATATTAAAAAAAAAAAAACACGAGAGTTATCTTTCAATAAAATGTATTGTACAACCAACAAACTTTTAAGTTACGTAGTTTAAGAAATTAATTACATGACTGTGTGATGAGATAAGCAACACTACATTTATTCTATTTTTATACAGATATATAAGTTGTATATGATGGGCTAAAGTGACTAGCGAGAGGTGCGGGAAACAAGATATCCATAAAAATCATGTATTTGAAAGCAATTATTTTGTGCACGGCTATTTTGCTGATGATGTCGTATATGGTGTAAATTTTAGACATCGATTCCGGATGAGGAAATAGTTATTCCTATACATAGTTGATGACATGAAAAATCGTGTAACGTCCCGAAAATTACAAAGATTTTTTTCAACCAATTTCACATTTGCTTCAAAAATCATTGTGTTACATTTGATCGATTGAAATCATACACTATCAGAGTTAAATATACAAACCGTGGAAAACGAACATCTTCGATGCGTCAAGCTCTTCACACGAACAACCTGCAAAATGTTTAATCCACAACTGTAATCATAATGCTTAGTGAGTTCTCTGATATACGACATATCCCATCATACATGCAATGTGTCTACACAAGATCTCAATTCTAGCATCAAGCAACCAAAGCTCCTAGTCATATACATATATATCACGTAACGGGCCCAACCCAGCTCACATAACGGGCTTTGCCCAACCATACATAATGACCCCCATCCAACTGTACATAATGGGCCCCGCCCAATGAGTAAATGGGTCTGACCCAACCTCCACTGCCATTAGTCACCTCCTCGTCTTCCATACAAGATATAAGGTCATATGTAGTTAGCGATCAAATAGACAACCAAACAAATGATCCACCCAAGTGCAAACAATTAGACAATAACATCACAATCATACATTAAATCAAGAGTTCTCATGCTATCCAACTTAGGCTACACAAAACCCAAACTATCACTACTATATAATCATATAGCATAAACACATGCCTAAACTAACATAGTACATTCCCCTTAGCAAATATACCTTAACCAATCATAAATCCCAACAATACCATACAATTAACATGAAAAATCCTACCGGTCTAGCATACTAAAGCACTAAGTGTTTTAAACTGCAAGGCATAACCAGAACTTACCCTAGGCCATTAACATACTTGTACTGTAACAGTACATCTATCCTACCATGCAGATGATATAAAAATGGGATACATGGCATAGCGAGAAACTCACCTGAATTGCAAAACTGGAGAAGCACAACAACATACTAACTCCTTGCACTGATCAATCACTCGAACCGACTAAAACCAAGACAAATAAATAATCAATCAATAACCAAATCCTCCAAGTTTGACCCTAAGTCAAACTGGTCAAAAGTTTAAGGTAAACCTTGTCAAATTCAATGCCACGTCGTGAGCCTTCATTGGCTACATCGTGGGAATGCAAGGACAAAACAGTCGCGATGTTGGGTTTTGCCATGTCGTGACCATTCCTCGGCCACATCGTGATGCGACTACAAAAGCCAAAATTTTACATTAAGGACTTAATTCGTTAAGTCCTTTGCTCAAAATTTCTAGAAGGCTTCCTTTCTTTCTAAAGAACCATAAAAATCATTATTTTTTGGACATGCATGTCCAATACATGTCTCTCCCAAAACTAGGTAAAAAAGGGATTAGAAATAGAGTCAAAACTCCATGCATTGCACCAAAAAGCAAGAGAGACTAGATCTGGGAAACATATGATAACCAATGGACCTCAAAAAGTGATAAGTTGCCAACTTTTCCAAATCAAATAATAAATCATAACCACTAATCATGAAGGAAAATGGATCAAAACTTAGATCCACAAGAGATAAACCAAGAAGATGGGAACTTGGAGACTTACACAAGTCGAGAAGGTGCACCAAAAGATGTAGACAAGCTTGCTAGTTGATCTTTTTTTTTCAACAAAGTCTTCCTTTAACCTTCAAGTGACCAAAACACCATCAAAGCGTAAAAAAGGAAATAATAGAGACCATGGTTTCGTCTAGGGATGATAGAGGCTAAATAGAATGGCCTAACCCTATATTTAAGGCCCTTAAATACGAAGGAAACCCTAAAAATTATGGGCTTGGGTTGCAAAGTTCACCACGTCGTAAGACCCTTCATGTTACGTCGTGGTGACCATCCGAAATATGCACTCTTCATTTTGTTGGATTAGGTGTCTAAGTTCATAACTATTTCTGGAATGTACTTGACCCGGTTAGCATGGTCTATTTGGGTTGCATGGCATCATGACACTTGGATAGACTAAATGAGAGAAAGGACACTTGTGGTTTATTAATATATTATAAGTTCTAATATATTAATAATATTATTTAATTAGTATTGATCAAGAATTAATTTAGAATTAATTTGGTGGTCAAAAGGAGACTAATTAAATATATGGGGTTGATTGTGTAAATCATCCATTCTTATATAGTGAGCTAATGATCCATGGTTTATTGAATTAGGATAAAACCCATAAGGTGCTCCATGGATAGTCTATGGAGGTTATAAACCCATTGATCATGGAATATGAAAAGCCATGTCAATTAGGGTTTACATGTTGTAACCCTACTTGTGACACCACTATAAAAAGACCCCATGGGCAACCAAAATCGGCACTATGTGTAGAACAAGAAGGCTAGCCAATTTTGAGTGATAGTTTACTTCTCTCAAAGTTATTCCAAGAGTTGTGGTGTTGTGTGAAACATTTGATGCATCACATTTGGGGTGCTAGGCTCACAAAGTTCTTAAGGAATCCAATCAGTAAGAAAGGTATGTTTTCCTACTAGCTTTTATGTTTCAAGTTCCCCATGCCATGCTAGATAGGTTAAGAACCTTGGAAAAACAAATTTTCATGTATCTTAGTAAAACATACATCCAAGCTTTCTAGGGTTGCATGTACACCTTAGGAGTGTTAGAGTGCTCAAAACCCTTCGGTGGTATCAGAGCCTAGGCTTATTTTCTTGATACTTGATGCAATTTGTTGAAAAAACTCAAAATTCTGCTTTCTGCCTGAGTTAACTCGTCGAGGTCATAGGGAGACTCGACGAGTCAATGTGTTATTTCATCCTACTCGTCGAGTAGGCTCTTACACTCGACGAGTAAGAGGCCTTGAATGCAGTTTTTCGAGTTTTGCTGTTGGAAATGGACTAGAAACATTACCTTAAACTATTTTGGTCTTATAAAACTTGTTTTAGATGGTGTTACGGTTATGCAAATCCATTTAAAATGGCTATTATCAAAATTTTAAGTTTTATATGTGTTATTTATGATTCTTTATTGATATGAATGTTCATACACTTATGAGTTTAGAAGATCATAGGAATTATTTGCAAATAGTTTGTTAGTTTAATTCTTGATCTTGATGTGTTTTAATAACATCCATAGTTTTTCCTGTAACGATCATTTTTCTCGAGGTATAAGTTTATTTAATTCCCGAGTTTTACTTTGGGCTATAATAGATTTAGTTGAGAGTGGGCTTTTGTTGGACCAAGATGCATTCTGCCCATAAGCCGTACGCAGGACGTAACCTGTTGTACGCTGGGCGTAATGGGTTAATGAATCGCGCAAAGGAGGGGCGTACGCGTAGCATACCATAGGGTACTCCCAGCGTACGTGGCCAGGGGGAAAACCCTAATTTTAGGGTTTGAGATGTATTTAAACCCCATTATAGCCTCCCATTTGGCCTCCTTACTTGTCATTCACCCCAGCGAAACCCTAGTTCGTCCCCTTGCTCCTTGCTTGTGTGTGTTTGACCTTTGAGCTTATTTTTGTGAAGAAGAAGAAGAAGAAGAGAAGTGGCAAAAGGAGAACTTGAGTGCCTTGAGCTCATAGATCTGGGATCATTCCTTCAATTGGCATTCAAAAGAGGTATAAAGCTTTCAACTTTCCTTTTATAAGTTTATATCTAGGAGTTTTGGAAGTTTGGACCTTTTTAGGTCCAAAGGAGGAACCTTTATCTTACAACTTCGTTTTTGGAGCTTAGGATTGCTATCCTTGAAGCTCAAGTGTCCCCATAGCAGTAAAGTTTCGATCTTTGAGGCTTATTTGGAACCATGCATGAGATCTAGTTGGTTTTATGGAAGTAGAATGTTATTTGTGAAAGTTTGAGTCTTTATGAGTCTTGTAAGCCATCAAGTAAGCAACTTTATGGCTTAAGTCATTGAATAAGCCTGGGATCTGGAGTTGTAGCTTCTAGATCGGATTATTAAGCACTTAATGAAAAGTTGGCTTAACAAGGTTGTACGCTGGGCGTACAAGGAAGTACGCGCCGCGTACAGACCACCAGCCAGTACGCTTAGCGTACCTTAGTGTATGCCCCGCGTACGCCACCATTTTGGGCTTTGTGTGTTGGACCTCGGTGTGGGCTAGGATTTAGTCTTAGGGTCCTTCGGGCTTTATGGCCCATCAGAATTCAGATGCTAATGACCAAGTTTTGGTATTAGGCTTGAGTAAGGCCCAATAAAAAGGATTTAGGCCCAATATAGCAAGTTGGGCCTATAGTGGGGCCATAGATGGACTTAGAAGGAATTGAGATTTGGACCATGTTGTGTCCCACGCCATAGTAGGGGTAAAATGGTCATTTTACCCATAGAGGAATCCCTATTATGATTTAGTGTTTATTTCCCATTATAGCTGGGAAGCAGCCGGAGCAGCAGTCAGGGATTTCTTATTTAGGATTTCAGCAGGCAGCGTCACCAGGTGAGTTTCCTTCAAGTAAGAACAGGTCTAAGGCCACAATGCCGGCCCGTTTAGCTAGTAGTAGTTCCAGACTTCGGTCTGATGCAGTTTTAGTATGTTTGATGCCTTCGTGGCTCAGACAGGATTTATGTGTTATGTGTCCCGGGCTACCGCCCGATGCAGTATATAGTTTATGTGCTTATGTTAGTTGATATGTTTATGCTATGCTATGATATGCTTAGTCAGATTCCGGATTTCGGTCTGATGCAGTTAATTCCGGACTTCGGTCTGATGCAGGGGACAAGGTCCCAATCAGTCTCGGACTTCGGTCCGATGCAGTTTCCGGACATCTATCCGATGTAGAGGGCAAGGCATTGGTTAGTTCCGGACTTCGATCCGATGCAGTTTCCGGACTCCGGTCCGATGCAGTGGGTAAGGCCCAGTATGTGTTTATATGTTATTGTGTGGTATGTGGTAGTTTAGGGGAGCTCACTAAGCTTTATGCTTACATTTTTAGTTTTGGTTTCAGGTACTTCCGCAAGTAAAGGAAAGAGCTCGGGTTGATGGCATCGCACACACCACCGCTTCAGTTGTCCTGGGAGTTGTGTTCTTTAGATTTTCATGGATGTGATTTGATACAATCTTAATACAGTTTTCCATTATTTTGAAATATTGACGTACAAGTTTTACTTTATGATATTAATATGGTGTTTTTAGTAATTATTAAACAAAATTTTTTGGTCGTATTTTGGGATGTTACAAGTTGGTATCAGAGCCTTGGTTTGAGGGATTCGGATACACTTCCGGGTGTGTCTGAACTCAAACTAAGACAACGGTAAAGATTTTCAAAACAAAAATGTTTTCGAAAATGATTTTTGAAAAAGAACTTAGAAAGAAGAAGAGTTTTATAAAAGGAAAGGGGTGTGGTGTATGCGATCAACCGAGCTCAAGTAAGTACTCCCAAATTACCATACAAGTTATATTATGATTATCTATTTCTGTTCCAGTAGAACAGTATGCTAGAATAGGACTAAGGATCTAGGAGGATGCCTTATGTGCCTGCTATATGTGTTTCAGCTTTATGATAATTGCATGCTAGTTTTGAGTATACAACAAAATGATAGCCTATTTAGGTTATGCTTGATAGTAGGAGCTTAGCATTGCATGCTAGTACAGTTTCCTATTAAGAGGATAAAATTGCTTGAGTAGTCTCCTATGTCTGAATGCTGCTTACTTTGTGCTTTGTGGGACTCTAAGTGATGGGAGTTAGCCATTAGGTGAATGCATCACGTCACATGTGAACAGGGTTGGGTAATCTCAGAGTGCTAGACTTATCCCTACTGCGCATCTCTTGTCTGAGTCTAACCGTTGTAAGGACGAGTCTTTTACTTGAAGGATTATATGAGCCTCGCCGCATGTGATGGTATTCAGGTAACGGCTAGTTAGCATCACAAGGAGGCCTTCAGCAGTTGAGGACTGGATCGGGTATAGTCAGAGAATTCCCTAGGGCAAGCCTAGGATCGGAGTAGCAGAGATTATTAGCAGTATTAGTGACTTGGTGGAGTCAAGGCAAGTACTTGAGGAAAGTACAGATAGATGTGGAAGGTAGTATGGGCCCGTACTACTGGAAGCAGAGGATCCGTACTCGAATCAAGGAAAGCTGAGATAAGACTAGGAAACTTGTGAAAGTAGTGATTCCTTGAGAATTATCAGTGTTCCTGATGTTTATAATGTTGTGTTTCAGAATGGTGGTATTACGCCCTAGACCAGCAGTCGGCAGTTCAGGTGACGGAGGGG